ATAAGTAGTAACTTTTATTTGAACAATTTTTTTCTCCAAATATAAATAACAGATATATTCCATAAAATATAAAAATGACCACCCATAAAGTACCCCCCCAGATGTTCTGACTCTGCTCAAAATCTAATCAGTTCATTGAACGCTAGAACAAAGCTTAAGTTTAAAATTTAGTGTTTTTCTGTGTTTCGGTTCATGAGTTATGTGACACACAGACACACACACACACACACACCACACAGACACACAGACACACAGACACACAGACACACAGACACACAGACACACAGACACACAGACACACAGACACACAGACACACAGACACACAGACACACAGACACACAGACACACAGACACACAGACACACAGACACACAGACACACAGACACACAGACACACAGACACACAGACACACAGACACACAGACACACATACACACAGACACACAGACACCCAGACACACAGACACATAGACACACAGACACACAGACACACAGACACACAGACACACAGACACACAGACACACAGACACACAGACACACAGACACACAGACACACAGACACACAGACACACAGACACACAGACACACAGACACACAGACACACAGACACACAGACACACAGACACACAGACACACAGACACACAGACACACAGACACACAGACACACAGACACACAGACACACAGACACACAGACACACAGACACACAGACACACAGACACACAGACACACAGACACACAGACACACAGACACACAGACACACAGACACACAGACACACAGACACACAGACACACAGACACACAGACACACAGACACACAGACACACAGACACACAGACACACAGACACACAGACACACAGACACACAGACACACAGACACACAGACACACAGACACACAGACACACAGACACACAGACACACAGACACACAGACACACAGACACACAGACACACAGACACACAGACACACAGACACACAGACACACAGACACACAGACACACAGACACACAGACACACAGACACACAGACACACAGACACACAGACACACAGACACACAGACACACAGACACACAGACACACAGACACACAGACACACAGACACACAGACACACAGACACACAGACACACAGACACACAGACACACAGACACACAGACACACAGACACACAGACACACACACACAGACACACAGACACACAGACACACAGACACACAGACACACAGACACACAGACACATAGACACACAGACACACAGACACACAGACACACAGACACACAGACACACAGACACACAGACACACAGACACACAGACACACAGACACACAGACACACAGACACACAGACACACAGACACACAGACACACAGACACACAGACACACAGACACACAGACACACAGACACACAGACACACAGACACACAGACACACAGACACACAGACACACAGACACACAGACACACAGACACACAGACACACAGACACACAGACACACAGACACACAGACACACAGACACACAGACACACAGACACACAGACACACAGACACACAGACACACAGACACACAGACACACAGACACACAGACACACAGACACACAGACACACAGACACACGAATTCAGGGGACCTCAAAACGTAAAAATCCGTCGAAAATTCGAGGTCGAAAAGAATCATGATTCCTATACTTTCCTTATATCTGTATACAGATAGGAAAGTAAAAATCTTAATAGTCACATATAAATATTATGTCCATTAATTGAGTGCCGATACTTAAGGGTGTGAATCCTTGGGCGATTTTAAGAAGAAAAGAAAATATCAACATTTGTCGTAAAACTGTTAATTTTTGAGTTAGTTTTAGGAAAAAAAAACTTTTTTTATCATAACTTTCTTATCACTCCAGGTATTTTTATGAAATTTTGTACACACCTTTTAATCATTAAGGAACATTTTTTGCCTTTAAAGATTCTTTTAATTTTTTCACCAGTGACGTTCGTACGGAGTTTGAATTAAATATTTTTGAAGTAAAAATGGTCACTGCTTTTTCTAAAAATTAAAATTATTTTTGAAATCCTCATTTGGAGCATATTTGGTCCATACTTTCGTATGATGTAACCATTGTTGTGCATGGTCAAATTTTTTCCTTAAATTCATTGAGACTGCTTTTCATATTTTTTTAAAATTACCCACCATGGGTGGAAACATTTTTTTGAGACAAAACTTAATTTTCTACTTTCACAAATGACGTTCACGTAGGCATGATATTGAATATTTGAATAGAAAAAACGGTAAACACATTAAATGGCTTCTTAAAGCAATTGAAATAAAAATTAGTAGGCTGGATAAAGCGTAATAATTTTTGACGTTTATTTTCGCAAAGACAATAAAATTTTACACGAAATTGAGAAGAACTCCGAAACTAGCACGAGCAACATTTAATGTTTCACATGTAGCTGTTTGAAAAATTCTAACCGAAAATTTAATATACCCATATCACAATCAGAGTCCAGGCATTATTCCCTAGAAATTTCCCATTGCGCATTAATTTTTATGAGTGTTTCTTTAAAACATGCTGGAAAATCCGATATTTGACAGGTACATTCTTTTTCCGAGGAAGCTAATTTTTATCAAAACTCAATAATACATTTCCATAATAACCATTTATGGGCGGATAAAAACCCTTATGCAATTGTCGAATCAAATCATCAAGTTCAAGTTTTCATTAAATGTTTGGGCTGGCATTATTGATGATTATTTGATAGGTTCATTTTTTTCCCAAGAAGACTTGATGGACAATCATCAATCATATTTACACTTTCTTGAAGAATATCTGCCCTCAATGCTTGAAGACCTTCCTCTTTTATCAAGAAACAAGATGTGGCTAATGCATAATGGTGCGGCTCAACATTTTAGTGCGTAAATTTTTAAATCACACCTATCGCAATCGGTAGATAGGTCACCGAGGAACGCAGTTATGGCCGCCTAGATCTTCCGACCTATTTTTCTGAGGCATCTGAAAAGCTTAGTATACGCAGTTCTTTATTTGGTTCGTATTTTATTTGGTTCGTATTCTCTTGTCATTTCGCTTTAGATTTAAAATTTTGAATTTATCGTTTCACTAAATGAATCGCGATTTTTTAAAAAGAATTTAAAAAAATCAGAGGCATACTATTTTTTCTATCCATTATCATAATTCAATGTCATACCTACGTGGACGTCACTGGTGGAAGAAGAAAATTAATATTGGCCCCAAAAAAAGTGTTTCCACGCATGGTGGGTGCCTACCAAAGGACCAGGCAGCAGGCTTATGTCGAATTTTCAGAATTTTTTTGTAGTTGTCAACTTGCTGAACAATAGAGTCTATATGGGCACAACTCAATCCTATAACTAGTTTTTGATATATTTGTAAATTGGCGATTTTTTAAAAAGGACGTGCCTCTTATGATTACAGATATTTTTTAAGAATAATGCTTTACTTAAATCAAAAAATATTTCCAGCACAACAAATGACGTAAATTATTATTAGTTACAAGGTGAGTCATAAATTACTGAAAATGGAATTTTAATTTTTACTATAGCATGGAAATATTTTCCAAATGAATATCACGCTTGCTAAAGCCTTCGTATAAATAATCAAAATTAGGGACTATTACATTCTATACAGGGCGAGTCAAAACCCTGGAAACCTATATCATCCCAAAGACTTGAACAGATGATCATCACTAGATTAAGAATCGGATATACTAGGTTAACACATGAGTACCTTATCAAAAAGTCAGAAAAACCATTATGTTAACATTGCAATTTTGACCTTACTGTAAAGCACCTGTTGTTAGATTGTACAAAATATGAACAAGAAAGACGAAATAATAAAATACCCAACAATTTAGAGGCGATCTTAGGACAAAATTGTAATGTACACAATGTCATTAAGTACCTAACTGACATTGGAATCAAACACCTGATATAGGTTTTAAAGTAACACTCTCCGCTAATAACCGAAATGGTTGATACAGAAAATTGTAAATAAAAAAAGAAGTTGGTAAATCCTGTATGCAGTTTTTAATAAAATTTTACATAGTTAATATAGTGTTTTAATATATCAAACCATTTTAAAATATGTATAACTTATAAACCATATACAGTATGATTCAAAAGATATTTAAAGACAAAAATGAAGCAAAATTGGTTTGTTCATGTCTCACACTATATTTAAAAAATTTTTTACACTTACTTTATTTTGAGTATGCCAATAAAGTTTAAATGTTATATGAACTTACTATGACCAGTTTTTGAGATATGAGTTATAAAACCAGGTAATGAAAGATATGAACAGTTAAATTCATTTCCTGTCACAGTCATCACTCACTCTTAGAGTTAGTTTTTTTGTAAAAACTTGCAAGTATTCTAAGGTTTCTTTATATGTTAGATGTTGACAGTACACCGTTTCTTTTAAATGCCATCTTTCTTTGACCTACGTCATCTTGACGTTCACATTTGTTTGACTGATGGCGTCTTCGATTATATTTTTGAAAAGGAACATATTTAGTCATGAGTTCACTCAATTAAGAGATACTTTTATGGAAAACTCAACAGTATAAAAATGAATAAACTAAAATATCGATCTTAACCCTTCTTGTGGAAACAAAGTTTATTAATTTAAAGTAATGCACTACATAACATTATCCTAAATAACTGCTATAACTTTTAAATATAAAACGCAAACTCTCTGAAATATTTTTAATAAAGTTTTTTTTTTTTTAATTATTTGTTATGTAATGTATTAAATTACTTATAAAATTAGATTTTATATGAGGAGACGCACTTCATATTAGTAATTCTTGTACCCACAAAAGGACGTAAAGATATTATTAATTTTTTTCTTCGTAAACTATAAATTATAGTTAAGAATAGATATTATGTAGTAATACCTACTGGTTGTGAAGACAGCGTGTATCAAAATAAATTCTTTTATTACTTCTTTCTTTTGTTTTACAGACAAGACAATTAAACGTCGGTGAATGCTTACCGAAGTCTTGCGGAGTAACGGGAGTGCGATCTCTCTTAGCCCACGAACGCAATCAAGCAACGTCTATAAACATTGTGGGAGTTCGAGAGGTCCCAGGGGACTATTCTTTGCTCTACGATTTTAAAGTTCATTTACTCGGGTGAGTCTATACATTAAACATTTCGATAGTTATTTCTAGGATAGCACAAGCAACTCAATTTATTTGTAGTTTAAAACAAAAGTAAAACATTTATGTTCGTAAAATAATAAAAAAAAATAATACGAAAGAAAAGTGTACCGTTGCCAGGGAACAAAATCTAGAAATCAAAGGAATTGATGAAAAATGTAGGTAATTTTTTTCTCGATTTTGTAGTATATGTACGAGCCCAAACAAGTATGTGTTGAACGATAATGACTTTTGCATAAAACAAGCAGGTTTTAAATTTTTCTTACTTGCGTTTACATATATTTTTTCTACTTTACACTATTTATTGTATTGTTTTTATTTACTAATAAGAAGTGCTATAGCAGTCACTGTACGTCTGTGAAACAAAACTCCAATAGTGTAACAACCAGGAAATCTATAGACCATTTCTAACTACTGATAGGTCTTTAGCTACTGTTGTTAATATACTATTAAGAGATTAAGGCAGCATTGTCACTAGCCAAAGGGTCCTAGCGTACAGTAGGAACATCCATTCACCATTCAAATAAAAATTAAATTAAAATTCTCCCTTAATACTAGAGTCGAGCGTTTCTTGGCAACTAGTTTTAGACTCTTCTAGTCCTTTAATGGTGGATACGCCGAGGTTTCACAAATGCTCGAAATATTTCATAACTGGTTTTGGAAAGATGATAGATTAATAATAATTAATAAAACAGTAACAAATGTATATTTATAATTAGTATAAAATGACTAATAGTCTCAAGAAAGAATGAATAAAATTATAATTAGGGAATAAAGCACTATGTGATAATATATCCAAACTTTTAATAAAAAACTATGATTTATGACAATTAGATAAACTTTTTATTTAATTATATAGTTTGGACTTATTAACAACTAAACTAGCACTGGAAACTTTAGCTATATAATAATATAAAATATATTGTTAAGATAAACATAAATTGGTATTTATATGTAAATCAATTAATTATCTCAAACAAAATACTTTAAAAATAAGTTATAGATATATACCCATACTTCACATATCGCTGCACAAAACTACACATTACGGTGTTTTGCGACTTAGGGTCCCGAAACGCGGGATTCTCGCCTTTCGGAAAAAGCTTTTGGACCTTAGTCCTCACTCGAGTCTTTTTCTTTCTGTCTAGTCTCTCTATTTAAACCCAAAATGTAGGTGATAGTTGTACTTGTTAGAATGTCAACGTTCTACCTTGAATTCTCTAGTTTAATGTAAGCTGTTGATTAGAGTAATAACTTAATTGTTGATTTGCAATACGTGTGTTTTCTTTTGAATAATTATTTAAAACATTAAAAAAATACTTTCTTTAGAATTTTTGATAAATTCTTTATATTTTCAAATAATAATGCCAATCAGTAGTCAGATAAAATGTATAGCGGCAGTTTCACATGGAGTTGAGTGATATAGATCGACTGTCGGGTAAATGTGATCTCACTGTTAGCTGTGAAACTTACCAGTGTTATCGAAACTGAATGCTATGCCAATGACTGTTATATCTAGAAACATTTAGACTTTTTGTTATTGCAGTCGTATTTCGGTTAAAATAAAATGGTAAAATCTATTGAAATTGATAAGCAAATTGCGTTCTCAAATGAAAAAATTATGGAATTATTTGAATTATATCACGAAAACCTGCAATAACTGATATTGCCAAAAAAAAAAAAAAACGTAAGTCGAAGAGGAAATAATCGAAAAGAAAATAACTTCAATACGATCCACGTACCTACTTGATGGAAAAAAGAAAATTTCGGAAAGCCACAAATCAGGTTCAGGCACAGATGATCCCAGTACCTTTTCGTTCTATATCTTCTTCGTTTTGGTTCTAGATTGTTATTCTTTTTTAAAATGATGTAAGGTGTCTCTACAACACTAACCTAAAAATCGTTCCGGACAAATCTCAAAAAACATAGAATTTAAATTTTCTTTAGCTGCATGCATATTTTCAACTAAATCGAAATCCCAAAATCCCTCAAAAAATAAACAAAGCTATATTTTTATTGTGAAAAAATTTTTTGTTCTTTGATTTTCATTAAAATGTAGTTACATCTATGTATCTGTGTGTGGAGAATGGGTTTACCTCACGGCACTTAGACCTCACTACATTGTGTATCCTCCTAAGATAATAGGCACTAGGTACCTAGTTTGTGAGCCAGCCTACTGATTTAATGTAGTTGACAATGTCGTCAATAGGTGGTTCTCTTATATCGGCCGGTGTTAGCCGATACTTGCCGAACACAAATCTTCTAATAAATGACAGCGTCGGTCAATTGTAGAGGATATGCTCGAGGTCCCATCTTCTTGTTCCCACCCCCTGCAGAGTGCAAATACCCCATGGTATGGAGATGTTTCCGAACTTGGCAATGATCAGTTAGAATGCATGTGATCAGACGCAAATTATATCTAGTCATAATCAAGTATTTGTTTGCTATAGTGTTGTCGGGAAAACTTAAAAGCTCCCTGGTAACTCTGCAGTTTGTTGTCTCATCCCATCTTTTTTTGAATTTCATAAGGGAATGTTCTTTAATTAGCTGTCACTACCGATGTTGTCAGTCTAATAGAAGGGTCAGGTCAAAAAATATTTAATTGGCTGTCTTCTTGGCTAGTGAATCAGCATCGATGTTGCGTGACATATTTGATCCATCTTAAGGTGACCACATTGTTGATGGATACTTCGGCCAAAGTTTCGTGATATTTTAGTACTAAACCTGAGTAAATTCGTGGTCTGTTCAAGGTAATTAGTGCTTGTCAGCTATCTGTATAGATGAGCATGTTTCTTTCGAGTAATATTGTTTCTGGTGATTTCTTTTGCTGCTATGAGAATCGCCGTGAGCTCGGTTTGAACTACACTGGATTTATTGCTCATAGAACATTTTATGTTTAGGTTTATGGATCAAGAGTATATTCCAAATCCTGAGCCTTATTTTGTTTTAGAACCGTGTAGATATGAATCGTATCTGCCACTTCCGGCTCTTCTATTTGGCTTATGGCTTATGAAAGATATATCTCTGGGAGAGAAAGAGTCCATGTTCGCTTGAAGCAGTGGGAGCATATCGAGCGCCTCCTGCCAAAAGCGACGTCTCGCCTCACCAGATCCTACATCAGGTTGGTTTTATTCCAACGGTGCGGAGGCATGTCATTGTTATCAGTGCAACCTCCTTGATGTAAATTTCAAGGTCAGTGAGACTAAGAATGACCTCCATGGCTCTGGTTAGTGCGGCTTTTATGGCTCCTGTTATGTTGAACCATGCTGTTCTTTGAATTGGTTCTAGTTTGTGGATAGCTATCAATTTTTGGGTTTTCGGTATCCAGAAAATTGTATCGTATGTGTGCATAAGTCTTATGATGGCCGTGTAAAACCATGTGACGACTAAGTATAGCGAATAGACTGTAACTCTTTTGCAAAGTTTAGTTCTGTGTTTAGAAACTCTGGAGGTTTTAATTCCATTATCATTCTTTTCCTTGTGAAAAGGACCATTTCTGTCTGTTTGGGATTAATAGACACTGAATGGTCCTTGCACCAATGTTCTTTAATTTTGAGAGCTACTTGCATTCTTCCGCAGAGTATGTACATATAAAAGAAAGCAAGAGAGATTTTAAAATGTAACTGTTGCTTTCAATCTACAACCGTTAAAATTTGTACGTTAATAATTCTTGAATCGCTCTGTAGATTTTACTGATAAATCTGAAAGCTTCTCCCCGCCCATCTCTAGTTTAAGAGTTAGTCAAATTTAAAATAATTTCATTCAAAAAATGTCCTTCTATCATTTAACGAAAATAGATTTTAGTTTTCGGTTCAGTGGTTCCGAAACAATTTTTGACAAAGAACCACTTTGATTGTTTTGTTGTTAGCAAGGACCTCAAGGAAGAATAAAACCGCTTTCTGTCCAAAATGACATAAAATGGCGGAGTCAACATCTTTTTATACACATGGCCCCACCTATGGACGAGTCTCCAAAACAAGAAGTAGTTGATAGTAGATTTCTGTATGAATATATCCCTTGTTTCGACGATTTGTCGTTAGATGATGCCACAGGTACAAATAAATGGTGACTCCCCTATTGTATGTGCACATTTTGGACTGAAAATGGCTTCAGTTTTTCTTTGTGAAAAAATATAAAAATAAGAAAAATAGTAATTTGTGCATCAAGAGTGGATATGGACAATCCACTCGAGTTGTGCAGTATATTTTTTCTACGACCCACGAACTATAATCTACAAATTTTAGGTGATGAGAAAAAATAATTTCTTTTAAAATAATTTACGACTTTTACGGTGGATTTATAAATTACGTTCAGTTCACGCTCAGTTCGAGTTGAACATAAACAAATCAGAAACATGGTAAGTATGTTTTGGATAAGAAATTATAACGGATTCATAATTATTTTATAACCAACACCATCTACAAATATAATTAAAACAAAAATTATAACAAAATATAATTTTATTTTGTGGAATTTGTGGTTATGCCTTTCTAACTCGAACTGAGCGCGAACTGAACGTAGTTTATGAATCCACCCTTACTAATTTATAAAATAAAAGAAACATGAAAATAAAACGAGATTTAATTTAATTATTTCCCAGCCCAGATTTAAACCCTGGCTTCTCGCATGGAAGACAAACACCCTGTTCTCACCTCTATCACCACACTTACCATTTTAGTTTTAATTAAATTAGTTTCATAGTTTGATTAAAATTTATGATTTAAGTATTTGTAAATGTGGACGAAATAAAAAGAGAAATGCTACACAAGAATAACTAATTTATACATATATTTAATCTCATTAACTGAAAAATATGCTGACAGAATTGTCACTTATATAAAATTTAAAAAATAATAGACCAAAATATGAACTGTTAATGGTGGATTTAATTTTTATTGCAGTGTTCTTACTACGTACAATGGATATGAAATATATTCGTTCAGTTGAGGGCATACTTTTTCGTTTTGTAGTCTGTGTGTAGATAAGCGAATATCCATGTGGGTATAGAAAAAAATAATTTGTGTTTCTCATTGAAACAATAAACACATACAATATCTTTCCTGCAAGGTCACGTCTTTCATATATAAAAGATACCAGCAAATATAAATATAATAAGAACAAAGGAATAAAACACAAAGGTGCTAAAAATAGTTTATTTCAATACAAAATACAAACACATCATGTAAAATAACAGTTTTCCCACACAGCGTCCCAACATATAGTTATTACAATAAAATTATGGCTCAGTAAATTTCATTCATAAAACACCTTTAATTTATTAAAATCATAACCAAATTTTCTAAAATCTGCACTAAGTGGATAAGTTTTCAGTTTGTTTTAGTTCTGTAAGAAGAATATCAAAGTTTTATTTTTAATGCATAATTAAATTTATTTTGAAAACTGCTTAAACTTTGTTGATTTATTATTAAAAGTGAGGTTTTATGTTCGCTTTGTACATATTTATTTAGAGGAAGCACTAATCAATCGTTACTATTTTAATATTTTTTTTTATTTTTAGAGGATGTACCCTGCTAGTTCTTGGTTTAATTATAATTTCAACTTTAGCTGACTATTTTATACCAAATTCAAATGAAAACTCGAATAAAACTGATAAGGCAAATTACAAACAAAATGGTATAGAAAATAATAATGGAATAAACAATAATGGTATAAAATATATAAGTACCATTGGTACCGCCAATAGAACTACCGATAGTGGTATATCAAATGAAACAAAGACATCAGCAAAGAATGGTAATAAAATTTACTTTTTACTTTTGGAGGAAATTTCCTTCATTTGAAATATATCCTGGTACTAACAAACCAATTGCCAATCCTTCACAATTAGTTTTTTGTTTACTAGGGTTGGATAATAATATTTTTTAATAATAGTTTGGCTTAACCCTTTGTGTCCCAGACCACTTTTTTTAAGAAATTTTCTTTAAATTCACTTTTTACAACTAAAACGGTTAATTTGATCACACTTTTACCTAGGAAAAAAATCTTACACCCACCACTTGTTTTTTAGGTTTAGTGGACTTAAAAGTACCGTTGGGACTGAAGAAGAATTTTTTTTGCACTACATAGGAAAACATACATTGGTTGAATAATGTATTTATAGATAATTCAAAGAATAATTTATCTACATTTACATCGTGATATGCAGCAAAACAATTTTTCTTCTCGTTGCAACATAAATAAACTCCGTAAGCTGTACATTTTGAATGTGGACGAGACTGGATCGATTTCGATGAACCCTGTTCACACCTTCTTCTTTCTTTTGTGAATGTCACCCAGTGACTTCCTTTATTACCCAATCTTACATCTTGGCATACACTATAGTTGTATTTTCTTCTTTTTGGGGGCATGACGGGAGAGTTTCGGGATTGAGCACTGCAACGACCCTTATTATTGATCCTGAGACCACCGGAATTCCCATTCATCAGGCCTTATGTCTAAATTCTAAAAGCGTCATTTTATCTTCTTCGAGTTTTGAATATATAATGTATGCATTTACAAATGCTATGTCAAGTAGGCCAAAAATTAAACGGTGCCACCATTTCTTAGATCTCCTATTAACACAATAACTACTACGCAATTGATCTGCATGATCTACGGCACCCATATGCCTATTATAATCGGCTACCACATCTGGACATGGTATTTGTGTCTTGAATCCATCCTTTTCCTTTCTTCCTACTGTACAAGTTTGACTTCCATGAAAATGTGATGCGAAGTTGATATTATATTTCCATTTGAAGAAACTAATGTCAGTATTTGAAACGCTATAATCGAAATTTCCGCGTTTCATTTTTTTCTTTTAAATGGATAATTGAGGAAAATCTTTCCTAGATGAACGAATAGTTCCACAAGCTAAAGTTTTTTCTATTTTCAGTTTTTCCAGAAGGTGAATACTGGTGAAAAAGTTATCGAAATAAATGTGCCTATATTTTCCCCATTCAGGTTCAGTCAGTTGTAGTACCACTCTTTCACCTAGACCATAGTCTTTGAATTTGTTTTCAAGATCAGCATTTTTGCCTTGATAAATTTCGAATGTTTTCACATAACACCATTGGTCTGCCAAGCACCATAGTTTATAACCTCTTTTTATAGGTTTCATGGGGTTATATTGTTTCAATACTGATCGCACTTTGAAGACGATCATTGACTCATCAACCGCCATTTCTCTTGTGCCATGATATAACTTGTTAAAATTATCATTCAACGTATTCACAAGGGGTAATATTTTATTCTTATTATTTGGTGGAATAGACTGGTTATCATTTACATGCAAATAACTGAGAATATCCTGAAAATGATTGCGTGTCATTGTTTTTCTAACTAATTCTATTCCAAGATCATTACTTGTACTCCAGTAGTGCTTATAGCTGGGTAATGAATGGTAACCCATAAAAAAATTAATACCATAAAATGCAAGCAGCTCACATTCTTTCAAATTCAGATTTTTATCTTTTTGGGTAGCATATAAGTTACTCTGATATGTTATGTCTGCTACAGTCTTACCTACTAACTTTTTGAAATAATCTGTAGGTGAATGGCATGTTAAAAATTCGTCAGAAAGTGGACCTTCAGGAAAGTGATAATTGGGAACATGAATATTCAGATCCCGTTTTTTCCAACGTCTATCAGGTGTTTTTTTATTATTTTTCCCCACTTTGCTGTTACTAACTTGCACAGAACTGTTTTGACTATCGTCATTGTCACTTTCAACATTTGTATTAGCTCCTTGATCATCATGATTATCTATAAGAAGAGGTGCACTCTCTGCTGGTTCTGAAAATATATTTTCTTCTTGTTCGAAATCGCTTTCAATATCTGTATCAGATGAATTATCAAGAGGCAATTCTTCTTCACCCAGCTCATTTACAGCTTGTTAAGCTGCTAATAATAGTTCTTCGCCTGTCAATGGCTTCTGGAAATTGTTACAACGCCAGGATGCCATGCTAATATTTTATATCCAATTTCCAGCTGAATCCTAAAAATACAATGTTTAGATAGGTACTTGAATCCTGACGGTACTTTTGAGTCCATTATATATTTGAACGAATAAATCTTATGCGAATATTAGCAAGCTAATAAAAATATAGGATACGTAAAGCGAACACACTCATTTTGCTTACCACACAATTATATCACCCAAATTACCAATTTTTTAACGTTTCCTGATGTTCGGAATTCGCACTTCAACTAACACGACATAACCTCCAACTACCGAAAATATAAGACAGTTATACTGACATTTGCGCTCTACTAACATACGAACAAAACAGTAGGTATCTTCCTAATGCGGGACTCTCACGTACCATCGGGTCTGGGGCCGACTTTATTGACAAACACAATTTTATTGCTGGTTATAAAAGGTGGTACTTAAAAGTACCGTTGGGACACAAAGGGTTAAGGTTAAAATTACTGGGAAATGATCTTAATTAATATCGAAGTTTTCTTCAACTGGTATATGGTTTGTAAAATGTTTTTAGTTATAAAAAATTTAACAAATATGGCAACATTCATACTTTCTTCCTAAATGTACTTTAGGACAATGGAATTTGTGTGTATATGATTTGCAAAGAATTTGGTAATACCCGGAATATGAACATCTCAATTCGTTACATATTTACTATATTTTTTAGGTATCCCTTTGAAATTACTGTTATCATTTTCTGTCATTAAAAACGGAAGGAAAATATTATCAGTAGAAAAAGTTTCTTTAGAATCTATAGAATGCATTCATGGATTGAGATTTTTTTCAATAGCTTGGATCATTTTAGTGCATAGTTATTTAGAACTTTTTGCTATTAGTAATAATAAAAATGTAAGAATCGTCACGGAACGGGGATTTTTCTATCAGACTATTTCGAATGCTACATTTTCTGTTGATACTTTTTTCTTCATAAGGTGAGTATATTAAATTTACTTATATATTAAAATTCAACCAAGACACAGGACCTAAAAGGGTTAATCTCAGAATTTATATAAGGAGCGTTTAAAGTTTTATGAAATTTATTTTGTTCAAACAGTCCTACTGACTGCGCCAAATAACTTTTTACAATGCAACTTTTAACACTTTTTTATTACAAATAACTATATTTATTGTTTTAGCGGTCTATTAGTAACACTCACGTTCTTCCGAACAGAAGAAAAAAAACAAAAACCCCCCGATAAAGAAGGCATCTACACGGCAATAAAAAAGAGTACAGGGAGCTTTTTCATGATGATTTTCTACAGATTTTTTAGATTAACTCCAGCTTATCTATTCGTTCTAGGTCTCAACGAGATAATTATGAGATACCTACATTCAAATTCTGTTTTTTCTCCTGCTATAATCGATCATATAAGTTGTAACAATTACTGGTGGAGAAATATTTTGTACATCAATAATTTTTATCCACAGCATGAATTTTGTATGCTGTGGTCATGGTATATGGCTAATGATACTCAGTTTTATGTTATTTCGACTATCTTGTTATTGATTGGGATCCGGTAAGTAAAACAATCGTTGATATTTTGTTTAATTGATGGTAGAATTGCTTGTTCGAAGTTGAGGTGATTAATTAAAAGTTTGCAGTGTATTTAAAAATATTTTAAAATTCAACAAAAAGTATAAAGAATTAGTGTAAATTTTAAAACTTTAGACAAGGATTTTCCCAGAAAAATCATTCACCTACTACTTGAACTAAATAGAAAAGATGGCAATAGGAGTTGATGCATAATTGCATGGCATATATGCCTCGAGATGCATATGTTTATTTAATGTGAGAATAACTTGTGCCTCTCGTTTGTAACGATGTAGATTACATTTTATTTGTTGATATGTGACATGGCTGACACGATAAGCGAGATGAACTTGCTGTCGACCGGCGAACTTACAATCTCGTGGGAAGGAGTGATTTTTCTCGCTAAAATTAGCGTCGTTTCGCTTTTCATATACATCCCTTCCAATAGTCATTCGAATGATCTTGAAGCTTGGTAATATGAGGGAAGATATTACGTCAGAAGTTGTGACTGCGTTTCGTTAAGAAAAAACATTTTATTGTTTGTACGAGCGAGAGATAGACATATTCATGACGTAACTGATATGGTTGTTGTTTTCGAAACTTGTAACTAATTCGACGTGAAAGATGCGGTACATTATTTTTTGTATTTGAGTTTTTAATTAAATGATCAGTTTGACACTTAGGGATGCGCTCGCCTGATGCATTAATTAAAATATGTTTGATGTATTTCCAACACAGGCTGACCTACGTAAATAACAAAGTTCGCCCCATTTCCGGTCAAATCGGAAGTGAATTCGAATTCTTATTTGTTACAAAATAATATTAAAGTTAGTAGAAACTATTCTTGATTCATAATTTTCAAAAAATAGTATATTATGCAACGAGCTTGGAATAGATTTTCTGTACAAGCAGCAAACTATACTTTTTCTATGACCATAATGAGTAAAATACTTTTTGTAGAAAATCTCAAATATTTAATAACTATACAGGGTGTATCTAAATAACACCGAAAAAATTAAAGGGGTGATTCTGTGATGAAAATTAATGTGAGTGTTTGGTATAAAATTTTTTGAAAAACCCTCCCCGGAAAAGTTACACCCCTTCGAAAATTAAAAAAAATAATGGTTTTTCTTTTTTATTTTCCCTGTATATCAAGCTAAAGACACAAAACTTGGTAAACATTATCTGTCAATAAAAGTACACTTTTTGAAATTTTTTCATCCCTGAAGTATGCTTAGAAGGGGTTGAAATAATCAACCCCTAAGATATTTTTTCTTACAACTTTTTTTTAGATGAAAGTTTTTTCTTTAAAAAAGTATGACTGAAAAGCCCAATTCATTGACTAACTTTTTTATCTCTACAAGTTTTTTTCGAAAACTTAAGCATTTATGAGAAAAAAATAAATAAGCTCATGTAAAATAGCATTTTATTAAACAACAGCCAACCAAATTATGATTCTTAAGACTTCTACAACTAAAAACAAAAGTGAACAAACAATGAACAAAAACCTGTCGAATATCGACAATACAATTATAATAAATGTTGAAAATGACCGCCTTCAGCTTCAATACAAGCATCTACCCTTTTCCTCATAGAATTGCGTATACGATGAAATATTCCTGGAGAATTTCTTATAGTTTCACACCCTGCTACAATGCGGTTTCGCAGATCATCGATATTTTCAACTGGGTTTGTATATATCAAAGATTTCAGATATCCCCATATGCAAAAATTCAAAGGATTAAGGTCAGGGGAGCGGGCTGGACAGTTTACAGGTCTTCCTCGACCTATCCATTGATTGGCATACACCTCATCCAGGTGAGTTCTTGCACGTATACTAAAATGAGCTGGTGCACCATCGTGCATAAACCATAAATGTTGCCTAATTTGAATGGGAACCTCTTCAAGAAGAAAAGGTAATTCTTCAAGGAGATGACAATATTCTTCACCATTTAATCGTAGCGGAAGAAAATGGGGACCAATTAAATGATTATCAATAATTCCGAGCCACACGTTTAATGAAAATTGATACTGATGATTTCCTTCAAAAAAGCCATGAGGATTTTCGTCAGCCCAAAGGTGATTGTTCTGAAAATTTCTAATACAGTCTTTGAGAAACTCGCCTCATTAACGCCTCATTAACGCCTGCACCCGTTGCAGATGATAGGGATACAACATTTGTTCTTTTAAAATTCTAAAAACAACGGAATGGCTTACATGTAGGACACGAGCTATTCTCCTGGTACTAGTTTCTGGGAATTCTTCAATTGAATTAAGTACGGCTTCTTCTACAGCTGCAGTTCTAACTTCTCTAGTACGACCAGAAGCATGACTCCTTTTTTCAAAATTACCACGTTCCCGCAAGCGTCGGTGAATAGTTGTGAACGTAGTATGATGGGGTAGTCTACGCTGTGGGTACTGTTCAGCATAAAGTATTTACGCTTCCAATGAATTACCGTTAGCACGACCGTATGTAAAATGCATATCTGCCATTTCCAAATTCGAATATGCTTTCATATTTTCAATCAACTAATATTTCCTACAATACACAATCATAAAACTTGTGAAACAATAAGATGGGTAATAGAAAATGACACTACACAATCCTGGTATCAGTATTAATGTTTTTATGCAAAGCACAGGCCACTAGACTTGACGCAAAATACACTCGCGTTAGCTCATCTTTTTGAAAATGCATTGCATTAGATTTTTTTTCTCGTAAATGCTCGTTTTAGAAAAAACTTGTAGAGTTAAAAAAGTTAGTCAATGAATTGAGCTTTTCAGTCATACTTTTTTAAAGAAAAAATTTTCATCTAAAAAAAAGTTGTAAGAAAAAATATCTTAGGGGTTGATTATTTCAACTCATTCTAAGCATACTTCAGGGTTGAAAAAATTTCAAAAAGTGTACTTTTATTGACAGATAATGTTTACCAAGTTTTGTGTCTTTAGCTTGATATACAGTGAAAATAAAAAAGAAAAACCATTATTTTTTTTAATTTTCGAAGGGGTGTAACTTTTCCGGGGAGGGTTTTTTCAAAAAAATTTATACCAAACACTCACATTAATTTTCATCACAGAATCACCTCTTTAATTTTTTCGGTGTTATTTAGATACAGCCTGTATAAAAAGTTTGAATTTGAAATGATTTCAGAAGTTCCAAACACATAAAATTCGTCGGCCTGATCATCATAATCTTCATGGGCGCGTCCTGGATAACGACATTCATCATAGCCATGAAATGGGAATACGTAGCGAGGGTAGAAGAACCTTTTGCTCTTTTCGACCAATTGTACGACAAACCCTGGTTGAGGATAGGACCCTATCTCGTGGGAATAGTCGCCGGATATTTTTTGTTCAAAATGAACTGCAAAATTAAAATGCCGTGTGGAGTGGTGGTACTAGGATGGGTTCTGTCTTTAGCATGCTTAGGAAGTTTGGTATATGGTCTCGGAAGAGATGGATTGGTGATACCAGCTTCTGCGTTTTATGTAAGATAATAAAATTAGTATACAGGCTATCCCAAGTTTTTGTTTACAAGCAATATCTATAATTTAAGTAGAAAATTCTGCTGGGTCTGGCAAAATAAATGGTGAACTGGATAATCTACCCAAGCACTCGCAACGACTTATCTGGTACAACCGATAATAAAGTAGGAAGTGTCGTATCCCACAACTATAATTCTAACTCTTTATGAGGAATTTTCTTCACAAAAAACTCCTAAATTTCCTCTCTTCGCCTCTAATAAGCTCCAAAAAACATTAAATCCAATAACAATATCTCTCTGGTAATTGTTGTAGCTTAGATTCGGGTATAAAACAGTGATTGACTACAGGGAGTCTAATTAATACCTAAACAGGGTTTCGAAGGGATGCCCACATGGAGGAGTACTGTCCTCACTCCTGTGGTGTCCTCACTCCTGTAAAACCTGGTAAAGAATGGGCTGATTAGTACTCTCAAAAATGTAGGACATAAAACCCTGGGATATTCTGATGATCTAGTGATCATGGCACAGGGTAAATACAAGAGGCTCTAAACATAGTAGCAAAATGGATAGAAGATGAAGAACCAAAAATTAGTCCCAGAAAATCTACCATAATTTCAGTCACGCGCAGAAGAAAATTAGAGGGACTATAACCGCTAAATCTCCAAGGTAAAAACATATAATTATAGGGAGAGGAAAAATCAACAAGAAAAGCGGAAACATCACTAGGGATGGAAAACCATGTTTTTCGCCGAGGAGAAAATAAAAGAGATGGAAAAAAGATAGTGAAAATAGAGAAAATAGAAAGGTAAGATGTGGAACATACTGAACAAGCCAAGGACGGTGAAATAAAGTTTTGCTCGTGTTAAATCCCCAACTTTCGATGGAAAGCAAACAAATCCTATTTATATATTCAAATGTTACGCTCTAGTCCTGTCTTGAAATTTCTAGATTGTTTTGCCATTGAGTTAGTTAGTTCATAGCTAGAGATCGATGTTTAATGATAAATTCTCAAAATAAATTAGAATATAAGTGTTTAACATAAATCAGTGTATTTCTAATTATAAATAAATTTAGTTATAATACTTAGTGCAAATTAACTAAAATAATATACTGTTCAATATAATAAACGTTATAGTATTAATTTTCGATGATGGGGTGCAATTTGATATAAAAAAATTTGAGGTTAGTGTTTAAAGGGTGATAAAATTAAATGCAGTTTTTTAGACGTCATAGGAGGAGTAATGCCAATAAAAAATAGTAATTGATTTATTTTTATCTCTTCAAATAAGCGAGATATTGCATGTAACCGATAAGTTGTGATACCCTGTGTTATTCAAGTAACTATTAATTTAATATTTAAAATTTGTTGTTACGTTCTAAATTTATTACTAGGTTTTGATTTCATTGACTTTTTCAGTTTTACTTTTTTGTGTTATTATTTCGAAATTTAATTTATTTTTCATTTTTGACTTTTTTATAATTTCAGGCAGCCTTAAGTCATTCCGCTTGGGGTCTATCGATAGCCTGGATCACAGTGGCGTGCTGCAGCGGTTACGGAGGCCCTTTGAACTATTTCCTAAGCTGCGAATTATTTTTGCCACTCAGTAGACTGACGTACTGCGCTTACCTTGTTCACCCTGTACTGATGTGCCTAACCAGTTTCCATTTAGATGGGTCTTTTCATTTACATCAAGCTATGGCAGTAAGATTTAATTAAAAATTTATAACACTGAATTTTTAATTGTTGTTTTATTTTTAGGTTGTAATCTATTTCGGAAACCTTGTCCTGTCATTTATGACAGCTTTTGCCATTTCATTGGCATTTGAAGCTCCCGTTGTTAATCTGCTCAAAATTATTTTCGGATAAATATAGGTTTTAAATTGTATATAAATATTTTTAAGAAATACATTTTTTTCATAAAAGCATTATTATTTAGATTAAAACAAACATCGTACTTAAAATATTTTAATTAGAAAATGTACAACACCAAATTCACAAATAATTTTAAATTTTACTATAATCTGAAAAATTTAGTAATTAATTTTTCAATAACAAAAAAAGATACGATTACAAAATATTAATAAATTTAAAAATATCTGGTATTAAATATTGTTCTAGTGGGCAATATTTACATTTTGTTTCTATAAATATATGGACATTTTAAAAATATATTAAATTCGTATACATAAAGGTTCTTCCATTGATCATTGTCTCTCGTTCGTATCATAACTAAGATTCTAATTCATATAAATATAATTTAAGACATTCTTTTGAATATGTGCGAAGTTTTTATAATTTTTTAGATAAAGAATAAATTGTACTTAATAAAACACATAAATAAACGAATTTCTTTTCCAAACTAACCCGCTAAAAACATAATTTGCAATGCAGTGGTACTAGCAAGTGTTGCCCATATGGAATGGAAAAAAGTTCGTTACGAAGTGTATTTAGACCATAGTGTCAGGATTGTTTACCTTCTGAGTAAACTACAACATTTTTGGCGCCCAACGTGGGGCTCGAATGCATTCAGTACCAGACGCATAATCCCATTGGCATAATACTTGCAAATATTTATTTATTATATACGAATGTAATATATCTGTATACGATTATTCACATGCAACAGCAATTTTTATATAAAAAAGAAAACAAAAATAGTTATTTTTGACACGAATGAAGAAATCACTACCGACTCAAATAGTTCTCGGGGAGCACTATATACATAGAGGTCACTTATTTCACAATAAGTACTGAGAAAGTTCAGGAGGGTGTTAATGCTTGATCTGAAATAAAAAAAAAACAAATAATTTTTTTTTGTTTATGAATAGATGTACAAGGGAGATTATAATTTAATTTTCCTGTATATGTACTTTGTAAACAAAAGAGAAAGATATTGATTTATTTGCTGCATATAATAATGGAGAAAAAATGCAAATATTTAGCAAAAAAACGATGATCAGTAAAACTAATCAAAGCTTAGCTCTTTTATATCGACACAATAGGCCTTTTCATAACAATTTTTTTTTGTGCGCATGCGTCAGTATCAGCCATCTTTTTCGTACTGTTTTTTGTAAACAAGCATGTTAAAATGTCCACGTGAAAAAAATTATAATCGATAAATATTAATTTTAAGTGTATTCGTTTAAAAAATGGATTAAAAAAAGTAAAGTAATAAGTGTCTTAATTGAAAAATCAATTTTTGCAATCAATTAGTTATCTTTATGGAAAGGAAAAATTAAACAGTATTGTTATGAGTATGTAAAAGTGACACACGGTATAAATTATTATTTTATAAAAAAACTTGCCTACAGTATCATAAAAAAATTATCAAATCATTAGGCAAAATACATATTAAAATATATTCAAAATGATGATTAGGTATGAGTGAAAAAATGTGGTCGAAGCGATAAAGATTTTCGATCGATTGATGGATAATGTTACTAAAGATACTTATATTTGTTCACTACCTTTTCATGGAAAAAATGGTTCAACAGAAGAAAATCCTTGTCTGGTATTACACAATATTTTTTAATATTAAATACTATTTCGGTATACACAGTAATATTATTAAAAATGACATGTTGATCCTTAAAATTTTAAATAATTTATCTTATTAATTATATTCGTGATTAACTTTCATGTTAAAGTGTTTTTGCAATTATTAATAGTTGGTTGGCATAATTAATTAGAATAGAGTTATAATTATTAGTTGTTTTCATTAATTTTTTACACAGTTATTGAATGTATTGAAACCTAACCTCTCAATCACCACACTTTTTCCTGGTTCCGAAAGTCCACGTCACTTCAAGAACCTTTTTAATTGCTCACAACTATGTGCTTCTACAAAGTTATAAAAATTTAAATCACCATCAACGATTTTTTCTAATGATTGATTTTTATGTAGAGATAATATTGCTTTTCCAACCATTGTTGATCAAAACAGTACGAAAGTTTTGAATTTGCGCTATTTTAACATGGCGGCTGCGCTTGCGCTCATCACATGATCAAAAGGCCTAATAAAAAAATATATAACTATCAATTAGAACTATCTAATTAGAGTTGGCAAGAAAAAAGTTTCTTGAACTTACAGTATTTTTTTTATTTCTATGAAATTTAATTGATGGTACATCGCATAAACGTCATAAGAAAAATATTTCCTGAAAATAGAAGAATGGGGTAAGATACGGTCACGAAAGCGAATAATAAGAAGAAAACCAGTAGCGTTTCAATAAAATTTATAAGGGGGGTTTTGGGTTTTGAAATTAAGAAACAATATATTATTTATTATTTTTTGCGACTGCAATTTTAATTTTCGTGTTTTTTAATTATAATTTCCCTATTTACAGGGGAGGGGGGGGGGGGGTTAACCTCCCAAAACTCCTCGTGCCTACGCTCCTGAAATTGGCCAAATAAGCAGAGGATTTATAAAGTTTAGTTTTCGTATCGTCACGTTACTTCCCTAAGCTGGTATTCTGTCAAAAGAAAATCAAAGACAAGAGTTTTGTACTTTTTAAATACGATTTTTATAATCAATATTAATTAAACATCACAAAAGTTCAAAAGACTAAGTACTAATGGAGTGTTAATATTATAGGAATAGGGGAAATCTTTTTTTATACCTAACAACTTATTCTTTATTTATTGATAGTTATAGATAGTATATATTCTAAATTCAAAGTAATGGTTATGACGTAGCGGTGTTCTTCTTGTAATCGGATTCTATAACTATAAAGTCTATTACTATCTACTCTGAAGGTACTGTGGCTCTAATGATACCGCAGAGCATACCTTTTTTAGAATGCTTTAGGTGGAATACCGGGAGAGATACAACCAAAGAAATGATAGAAGAATGGATGATCGATGAGTTAATATGGAAAAGAAAGAGAACTGGGATGACAATGACCATAAGCATTATGTACGCAAAAAAGAAATAATATCTACTTATATAGAAAAAAAAACTAAAAGAATGGAGAATTGCCCAACATCAATTGATAGTAATATTCCTGATGTAAGGTCTACGAATAGTCCTGGGAAGATTATTGCAGTCTATATTGAGAGTGGTTTTTAGTCTGTAGGAATCTGATATTATCTGGTCATTTGGCGATCAGTTGTCTTTTTGCAAGATATTCCAATCTCCAGAAAAAAAAACTCAAGCAGCTCCAAAGGTAATTCTTTGACCAGCAATCAAATTACGACTAGTGAAAGACTGCCTAGTTCTGGAAAAGGACGTGGTAGACAAGAACAAATAATAATCTAATCTAATATAGGTTGAATTATTTTATCTTTTTAAGATATGTAAATAATTTTGTAAACAAAACGAGAATATTGAATATGTCTTATAAACGACAGCATGATAATTGTTTGTAGTTACATCTTTTGTTATCTCTGAACGAAACTTACCCTCATACGTAGGCAATAACAAATGTTCTAATACTAGCTCTAGAAGTTATATACTGTTAGAATTATTATTACCTAATGATATATGTTTAGGTTAGTAGATTACATGTCAGTAGGAAGCGCTTGATTAATTTCGGCGTAGTCATCGTAATCTTCCCCCTCTACTTCTTCGTAATCTTCTCCTTCGTCAACGGGATCATCCACCTCGAAATCTGTTTGTTGTATTGGAGGAGGTGGGGCTGGTCGGGGTAGCTCCTGGAATTAGTAATACCAACACCCATGCAGTTAATACGTTTAAAACACACAATTTAGTAGATAAGTTTTAAAAAAAATAATGAATACAAAAAAAATGATAAAATAAAGATTAAATTCAAATAGTGAACCTGGAATAAGTTCTTTAATTCGTTATTTATTATTTTATACCATTTATAATTATAACATTTTTGTTTATAAACACTATAACTACAAAAAAGATCAGATTAAAATTTTAGTATATCCATTCTATTTGAACAATGGACTTACTTTTGGTGGTCTCCATCCACAACCCGGTAAAGGTAGTCCGTCGGTTCCTAATGGACACGGAGCATCTAAACCAGGTACGCCTTGGTCTCCTTTGTCACCTTTGTCTCCTTTACGTCCTCTTTTACCAAGAGGACCCTTAAATGATACATAAATATTAAAATTAATCTATATAACACGTGATTTTTGATTCAAAAATTATTTTTGTCACCAATATAGTAATAAATCTTTTTATATTTATCATCTATAAGATACCTTTAGACAGCTCTATTAAGTAATAGGTAAGAATATACATGGATTTAAGGATTTTAAATTAACTATACACAAATTTTAATCATAAGCATAAGATTTTGATAATTAAAAATGGAAAAAGGCACATGGTAGCGCTTTCTAAATAGTTTCTGCTATTTCACTTTAATGATTAATTAATAGACGTAGAAAACATTTTTAGAAGTTAAAAGCTTTAAGTTCAGTCCTATCAGGACATAAACAAAGATATATTTTATTTGTCTTCGCTATGTTTTGTCAATGTTTTGTCAATGTTTTGTCAATGTTTTGTCAATGTTTTGTCAATGTTTTGTCAATGTTTTGTCAATGTTTTGTCAATGTTTTGTCAATGTTTTGTCAATGTTTTGTCAATGTTTTGTCAATGTTTTGTCAATGTTTTGTCAATGTTTTGTCAATGTTTTGTCAATGTTTTGTCAATGTTTTGTCAATGTTTTGTCAATGTTTTGTCAATGTTTTGTCAATGTTTTGTCAATGTTTTGTCAATGTTTTGTCAATGTTTTGTCAATGTTTTGTCAATGTTTTGTCAATGTTTTGTCAATGTTTTGTCAATGTTTTGTCAATGTTTTGTCAATGTTTTGTCAATGTTTTGTCAATGTTTTGTCAATGTTTTGTCAATGTTTTGCCAATGTTTCGTCATTTCAAATTTCAACAGTTCATTGTTTGTTAACCATAATCTCAACTATTTACACGAAGCAGTAAAACGTATGAGTCCTAATCAAATAAAACTGTTTGATGACGGTAAACACGGCCATTATTTATGGCAATATTTAGGAGAATATTTAAGTCAATTTATATATCATTGTTTGTGTCAAAGTTTATGCTAATGTATACATACATTAACATATATTGAAATAAACTTATGTTTTGCTAACAACTATGTTAATGCATATTACTATAAATCAGGCTAACTAAAGGCACCTTTAAATGTACTATGAAAAATTAATAAATGAACTTACTGAGTCACCCTTGTAACCTTTATCACCTTTAGGTCCCTAAAAATTGAATAAAAATTCAGCAATATGCTCACTGTTCATACTAGGCAAATACTAAAATTTATTTTTGTGTTTAATTGTGAATGCATTTCCGGTAGGCATTTTAGTCAGTTTGAGTAGGTATCAAAAATAACAAAAAAAAAAATAATTAAAATAAATTAAGTAAAAAAATAAAAATTGGTGTACCTATTTTATAAAATGAACTTAAATGCCTTAAAGTAAATCTATTCTAAAGCTATTTAATAAATCATGCAGTTATTTGAGTTAGTATAGGTTAATTTGATATGTACCTCTTGCCCAGGAATGCCGTCAGTACCCTGAAATTAGATGAAACATTAAATTTATAATATAATGTAAGTCTTTATTGTACAAGAATTCCAACATTTTCAGATTCTAAAAACGTTAAATAATAGAAATATTATTTAGGACATGCTTTATGTCATTATTGGTTAATATTCTGCTTATTATAATAAACATTATCTTTTAGTTTTCTATTAATTACTAAGTCAACTTACCGGAAGTCCAGGATCTCCTCTTTCTCCTTTACTTCCTGGTTCCCCTTGTGCCCCCTAATAGAAATATTTTTTTCAAAATTCATTAAAACAGAATTTGATAAGCACCTGAAAGGTATGTTTGTGTGTAAGGTATATTTGTGTACAGTATGTTTTTGTATGGTATGTTTGTGTAATAATAATAAAAATAATCTTTATGGACCTTTGAAGACATACACAATATGAATAAGGCAAGTCATATAAATAAATATAACAAAGAAACAACGCAATACCGTACAACTTGAGAATCTTATACATTAGCTAGTCAACCGTATACTGTTGGTATTCATCTAAGGAGTAGAAAACATTAACTGTTAATAGCTGTTTAAGGTCTCTCTGAAAGCCTTGTGTTGGAGTATTTATAAATGTTGGGGATAGTTGGGGTAATGTATGTTTTTTTTAAAGTACGAGTATATGTGTGTAATGTTTGTGTAAGGTATACTTGTGTTCGGTATGTTTATGTAAGGTACATTTGTTTATATATTTGCCCCATGCTACATAAATTTTGATTTATATGAAGCTGACAACTTCTTGAAAACATTGAATTAATATTTTGTGCACCATGAATAGATATATTGGACATACCGCACGAAGACAAAGTTTGAGCACGACGTCGTAGGCGGAATGCTCAATAGTCTGAGTGCAATATGAAAATGCACTCGAGTTGTATATTTTTTCTACGACCCACTTAAGGTAATCTACAAAATTTACACAATAATTTACAGGCTAAATAAGATAAAATAGCGGTTTTAAAAATAATTATTAAATAAAAATGAAATGACAATTAGTTTGACAGAATGGTCACTAATTTAAAATTTTAAAAAAGAATACTAAGCAGAGCACAAAATATAAACTGTGATTGGCGGAATTCATATATATATATATATATATATATATATATATATATATATATCTAAGGGTTAATTCCAAGACTTTTTTTGAGATTTAACGTATAGTTCCGAGACTTTTGTTGAGTTCCAGGACGGTCTTGGAAAATTTATTTGTCTAACGGTTTCTTCCAGGACGGTCTTGGAATTGAAAATAATTATTTGTCTAACGGTTTCTTCCGGGACGGACTCGCAAATATTTTGTCCCGCAACTATACTTTTATCATAATATCAATATATTATTTTGAATTCTTATGTGAGTGATTTTCGATAATATAATATTTTAAAATATCATTATAGAATTGCATTTCACATTGTCTAATTAAATGTTTTCACAGATCAAAGAAAAAATATAATGGCTGAAATCTATAATTTCAATTCAGTCAACACTATTCTTGCAAATTCGATTACACTATCATTTTTTCTTATGTTGTTGAACTTCTTGTACCATATTTTTGAAAAAAAAAAAACAAACAAAAAAATTTTCCTAAATTTTCTAAATAAAGGTTGATTATAAATAAGTACAAAAATTTTCTTTAATCTAAATTCTAGAAAGAAAAAATTTAGTTATTACTTATTTTGAACTAATTAAGGATCGCAGGTTTAGGATTTACACCTGAACGGCTGCAAACCTACACTGAAAAAAAAGACGTTTGTCAGATTTTTATAAACAAATATGCGAATAAATCCAAAATGTAGGATAATTGTATTGAGAATAATAGTACTATATTATTATCATTTTTGCAGATTAGATAGTTTTTCTGGATTTTCAAGCTGAAGATTGCTTAACTGTACAGAATGATACTTGTACATACAGAAATTATTAGTTTGATTGTTCAACATATTGTATAATTCCGAGACAAAATTGTCATAAAATATATAGTTCCAGGACATTTTAATCATAAAACGTATAGTTCCAAGACAATCGTGTCATATAGTTTAACTATAGATAGATACTTAGTTACTTAGATCCAGGTTTTCTCTGTAATGGAAAAGTTTGAGCAGGTAAATAAAATTTCATTTAATTTTTCACCAATATAACGATAATTTTTCTTTCAACTAATTGTGGATTTTAGATTGTCTACTGATACTCACTGAGTAAGAAATGTTCCGGTTTTTGAGTTGATATGCGAATATATTTGTTTGGAAAAAGTATCAAAAAATAAATGATATATTTGTTATCCATATTATTTCCACTTCTGAATCGATCAAAAATATATATATAGAATGATGACTCTATATAATAAGTAGACAAAACATGTCAAATTGTTTGATTTTTGAAAATTGTTATGTTGTAAAATTTATTGTACCGAATTCGAAATTTAATATGCAATAAATATACATAATAATACTTTGATTTTACATCTATTGATGTTTTGACGTATTGTATAGTTCCGAGACATTTTTGTCATAAAATATATAGTTCCAAGACATTTTAATCATAAATCGTATAGTTCCAAGACAATCGTGTCATAAAGTGTATCTATAGATAGAAAGTCAGTTCCAGGTTTTCTCTGTAATAAAAATTATTGAGCAGGTAATTCAAATTTCATTATCTTTTTACCAGCATACCGATAATTTTCTCTTTCAACTAATTCTAGATTTTAGTTGCGAAAATCATATTCAAAAACTGTCTACTGATACTCACTGAGTAAGAATTGTTCCGGTTTTTGAGTTGATATGCGAATATATTTGTTTGGAAAAAGTATCAAAAAACAAATGATATCTTTGTTATCCATATTATTTCCACTTCTGAATCGATCAAAAATATATATCGAATGATGACTCTAAATAATAAGTAGACAAAACATGTCAAATTGTTTGATTTTTAAAAATTGTTATGTTGTAAAATTTATTGTACCGACTTCGAAATTCAATATGCAATAAATATACAGAATAATACTTTGATTTTACATCTATTGATGTTTTGACGTATTGTATAGTTCCGAGACAATATTGTCATAAAATATATAGTTCCAAGACATTTTAATCATAAATCGTATAGTTCCAAGACAATCGTGTCATAAAGTGTATCTATAGATAGAAACTAAGTTCCAGGTTGTCTCTGTAATCAAAAAGTTTGAGCAGGTAATTCAAATTTCATTTGCTTTTCACCAGCATACCGATAATTTTCTCTTTCAACTAATTCAAGATTTTAGATTGCGAAAATGATCTTTAAAAACTGTCTACTGATACTCACTGAGTAAGAATTGTTCCGGTTTTTGAGTTGATATGCGAATATATTTGTTTGGAAAAAGTATCAAAAAACAAATGATATCCTTGTTATCCATATTATTTCCACTTCTGAGTCGATTAAAAATATATATGGAATGATAACTCCAAATGATAAGTAGACAAAATATGTCAAATTGTTTGATTTTTGAAAATTGTTATGTTGTAAAATTTATTGTACCGAATTCGAAATTCGATATTCAATAAATATACAGAGTGATACTTTGATATTATATCTATTGATGTTTTGACCTATTGTATAGTTACGAGACATTATTGTCATAAAACATATAGTTCCAAGACATTTTAATCATAAATCGTATAGTTCCATGACAATCGTGTCATAAAGTGTATCTATAGATAGAAAGTCAGTTCCAGGTTTCCTCTGTAATAAAAATTATTGAGCAGGTAATTCAAATTTCATTTTCTTTTTACCAGCATACCGATAATTTTCTCTTTCAACTAATTCTAGATTTTAGTTGCGAAAATGATCTTCAAAAACTGTCTACTGATACTCACTGAGTAAGAATTGTCCCGGTTTTTGAGTTGATATGCGAATATATTTGTTTGGAAAAAGTATCAAAAAACAAATGATATCTTTGTTATCCATATTATTTCCACTTCTGAGTCGATCAAAAATATATATAGAATGATGACTCTAAATAATAAGTAGACAAAATATGTCAAATTATTTGATTTTTGAAAATTGTTATGTTGTAAAATTTATTGTACCGAATTCGAAATTCGATATTCAATAAATATACAGAATAATACTTTGATTTTACATCTATTGATGTTTTGACGTATTGTATAGTTCCGAGACATTATTGTCATAAAATATATAGTTCCAAGACATTTTAATCATAAATCGTATAGTTCCAAGGTAATCGTGTCATAAAGTGTATCTATAGATATAAACTCAGTTAGAGGTTTTCTCTGTAATAGAAAAGTTTGAGCAGGTAATTCAAATTTTAGTTGCTTTTCACCAGCATACCAATAATTTTCTCTTTCAACTAATTTTAGATTTTAGTTGCGAAAATCATCTCCAAAAATCTGTCTACTGATACTTACCGAGTAAGAATTGTTTCGGTTTTTGAGTTGATAAGCGAATATATTTGGTTGAAAAGAGTATCAAAAAACAAATGATATCTTTGTTATCTATTTCATTTCCACTTTTGAATCGATCAAAAATATATATAGAATGATGGCTCTAAATGATAGGTAGGCAAAATATGTCAAATTGTTGATTTTTGAAAATTGTTATGTTGTAAAATTTATTGTACCGAATTCGAAATTGGATATTCAATAAATATACAGGATGATACTTTAATTTTACATCTATTGATGTTTTGACGTATTGTATAGTTCCGAGACATTATTGTCATAAAATATATAGTTCCAAGACATTTTAATCATAAATCGTATAGTTCCAAGACAATCAGGTCATAAAGTGTACCTATCGATAAATACTTAGATGCAGGTTTTCTCTGTAATGCAAAAGTTTGAGCAGGTAATTTAAATTTTATTTGCTTTTCACCAGCATACCGATAATTTTCTCTTTCAACTAATTCTAGATTTTAGATTGCGAAAATGATGTTCAAAAACTGTCTACTGATACTCACTGAGTAAGAATTGTTCCGGTTTTTGAGTTGATATGCGAATATATTTGTTTAGAGAAAGTATCAAAAAACAATTGATATATTTGTTATCCATTTTATTTCCACTTTTAAATCAATTAAAAACATATACCGAATGATAGCTCTAAATGTAAAATAGAGAAAAATACGTTAAATTGTTTGATTTTCGCAAATTGTTACGTTGAAAAATTTATTATACCGAATTCGAAATTCGAGATTCTATAAATATACAGGATGATACTTTGGTTTTACATCTATTGAT